TTTTGATGTCATCAATTTTGACAGCGTTCCTGGAAATGCGTGTAATATCTGTAGCACATATGTACATGTTTTCCCTTAGGTTCGCTGAAGTGTAGTAGAAAGTTTCCATCATGCTATTGTAATCCCAGGCATCATTTTTGTATTGTGTTAGTGAAAGTGAGTGACAGTACACCACAACAACAACAAAAGACTCCCAGAATTCAGCTTTTTTTTCCTGTTAGTGTAACAAGCACGGCAGTCTGAACAGGCTAGATCTGGTAACTAATTTGAAGTAGTAAATAATGCTAGACAAAAATTCCCACAAGTTTCTCGTTGAGTCTGCTTCAGATATTACTCACTTGGTGGCTGAAATACCGGTCTTGCTTCACACTTCTAATGCTTGTGAAAGATTTAAATATTTTGTTGGTAACTGGAGTTGATAGAGCTGCAGACAAGAGTTTGCCACAAGTTTTTGGTTGGGGCCATGCTCAGTTAGAAAATGCCACTTGTGTGGGGGTGGAAATGCTGTCCCTGAGGTGCATCAGCTTCACTGGAGCCTCAGAGGGAGCAGAGGGACTGCTGCCCTGCCCTCACTGCTCCCACCAGTCAGCCCTTGGGATTCTGCTGGGCTGATAAGATTGCTGGTGTGCTAATAAATAATGAAATAGATAAAGTCACCTCTTAAGATGGACAAAAGCTAGACCACCGAAGTTAGAAGTGAGTAAACTCTATTCCCTCCCGCCCCCAAGTCTCACCTGCCCCAGCATAGCCAGCTCCCACCTTGTCCCTGCAGTGGGATAGCAGCTCTCTGGCTTCCTGGTGGAGGGTCAGACCTTTCTGGTCTGCCGCCCCAGGCCTACTGAGTCATCAGGCTGCTACCCCTTCAGGTTATCCTTCCCCCAGGCTTCATAGGAGACTGCTTTTTTTGAAGTGTCCCAGTGTTAGGGCAGCCAGGAATCCAGCAGCCCTGGGGTTTGTGCTGTCCAGTGATGCAATTGCTTTGGGAGTGGCCTGGAAATATTGTATACTGCCTTTCTCAAAAAACCCCCATGTGTCATAAATTCTTCCTCAGAAAAAAAGAAGTGATTATTAGTAGTTATTGCTGGCCTAAGACAAAATTTGTATGTGTCAAAAATACTTTGGAGGAGTTAGTAAAAGAGAACCTGTAGAAATCATTCCAGATGGCTGCTGTAAGCCCTTAGTTCATCTTTATAGTCTAGACATGGACAGAGATCTCTGTAGTGTAATTAGAGAAATAAATACCTACTGGAAATTATGTGTCTATGTGAGACTTAGACTTGCTAGATGTAGGTTGGGGAAGGTGTGCAGAAGTAGGGACCTATTTCTCAAGGTATCTATAAACATGGTAGATGAAATACTTCTTCACCAAATGACTTCTCGTCAATCCTGGTTTAGAGTTAGTTTTGAGGACCACCATGGCTTCTGTGGAAGAATAAAAATAAAAGAAACTTCAAAACAAGTACTCACAAGTTGAAATGTGGAGGAGGTGTAGAGTTTTTAGTTTCACATGTGAAAACTACCTAGAACTTATATCCTAAACAAAAGAAAAAAGACATTTGGGAAAAGCACCACATCTAATTTGATGGGTAATCATCACAGAAAAGATGTTGGTAGATAACTCGAGGATAGAGGAAAAAGACGGATCAGAAAAAAAGTTGTGTCTTGGAAGGCAGGATATATAGGAACAAAGTAAAAACAAATGAAAGGAGCTTGAGAAAAATAGCAAAAGTTTCTTAATCTAGGAAAAATTTGGGAAAGAGAAAGACTCTTGTGCTGTGAAGAGGAACTGTAATTTATGTTGGATAAACTAATTATGATCTAGCAACAGAGTAAAGTCTGGAGGCTTATAGTGGGTATGGAAATGGCAGATAAACAGCCAAAGGTGGACAAAGCTTAGGAAAACTCACGGGCTCAATTCAGAGGAGTAGGATAACTGTAGTTCCAAAGTTCAGATGAAACAGGTATATGAAACCATATGTGTGACTATCTCATAAATAATAAAGGGATCATTTGACAAGAACATGGTTTCTCTGTGTAAGAAGGGAGGAAAGACCCGCGTGAACAAGAGCAGCAGGCCTATTAGCCTGACTTCAGGGGTGCAAAGCTTTAAAAGAGATCTTGAAGGAAAGCAGTTTCTACATAGTAAATGGGAATGGGGCAGGGGGAAAATTAATTTAAAAAAAATCTCCCACCTTGTACATGGTATGCAAATCTGGTACTTTGATTAGCTGGAAAAGCGATAACTTTTAGAAGCTAACTTTTCTGGATCTCGGCGAAGAATTTGCTGCCATACAGCAACATATTTGATATATCCCCAGAAAATATATTTCTCTGAGAAGAAGGAAACAAATTTGGAAGTAAGGGAAATGTAAGGAGGAGAAAAGAAGTGAAGCAGCAGTTCTTTAATCAAGTTTACTTGCTAGTTTGAGTCAGGTAATTATGCTTTTTTTCCCCATGGAAATTATGTCCAGTGCAGTCTATGGTGTTTAGCAGTCCAGTGCAGATGCAGAAGGCACTTAGAGTGTGGATTCTCTCTTGCTTTGCTCTTACCACAGTTTAAAATATATGACATTTTGACTGAAAGTATATGTCTTTAGATGGAGAACCATAAGTGTCCTTCTGGTGTTCAGGGTAGGACTGGGGAAAGGGACAAAGGGAAACAGTGTGGAAAGCTAAAAAAAGACAATGCAAAAAAAGACAGTGCAAAAAATATGCAACACTCAGGAACCTTCTTACTTACCACCACTGTTGTGGTTCTGTATCTGTATCACTTTTGGCAGTCAAACTCCCATATAGCCCTAACAATTCCCAAGAGGAAGGAAATAGCAGTGAACACCTCCTCTGCTGCCCTGTGGTCTGGACAGGGAGACTCTCTGCTCAGGAAAGAACACAGTGAGCTTTCAACAAGGGTGTTGAGGGTAGTGTGTACTCATGTCTGCGATCAGATCTGTCCCACAAACAGAAGTGCAGATTGATGGGTTGGTTCAGGTTTCCAGGAACTCTGATTCCCTACACAGCATTTCACTTCTGAGCGTTGCTCCCTTGCACACTGAAGACTCCCAGCACTCACCAGCCTTTAGTACTCTGAAAAAATGGACACACTTCCCAGTCATAAATCGAAGTCTTCCAGACCTCTTCAGGCCAATATAGAGTAAGTGACATTCCCCAAACTTATGTAAGTTACCTGGTATTCATCCTTGTGGGACAAATCCTTGGTCACTGAGAAGTGGTGACATGGTGTCTGTGCAACCCAAAAAAGTTACTGCGCCCTAGGGATAAGCAGTTCCCTCTGACTTGACTGCAAAGGACTATGGTTGGAAGGAAATGAATTTCTCTGTTTGCCTCTGAGAGTGACAAACAAAAAGGTACATGCTGATAAAGTCCCTTACAAATACAGAAGTCATGTCTCTATTTGTCATGTAAGACAAATACAGAAAACATGAGATAAAGAGAGGAAGGTAAGGACCTATTTTTTGATGTGAAGAAAGTACTCTTAGAAGTACAGAATCAACCAAAGTAGGAGGAAACTGGTTACAGGAGGAAGAAAAGCTACACGTACAAAACTATTGAGAAGATTAAGCCATGGTATCATCTATGGTTATTTCTTCTTCTGTGTGCATCAGTTTAAAGTAACGTTTAACTTTGATGTTAGGAGTCACTTCTGCTGGCTGTCCCTGAGGAGATCAGCTGAAGCCAGAATGCCCTTGAGGAAGAGCTTCTTGGTCATAGTGTGGTTTAGCAGCTAAGGGAGTCTGGATGAGCTGTGACTTGTCAAGGCGCATATGCTGCTTGGTGGGGGAAGGGATGGGAGGATTTCTATGGGAAATTATGCTGGAAACACATTACCAGAAGTGATGAGAGCACTTAGAAATATTGCAGCTGCAGTGCTGTGGTCCAAAGCAGTTTCCTAATAGCTGCTGGATAAGAAGTGGAATGGGTCTATGGCAATCACACACATCTCATGATTAAGAGAGCAAGGCTTAAAACGTTGAAGTTAAGAACATCCCAGGTGAAAGAAAAAGAATGGGGCATGAAAAGCATTCCCAACTCCAAGTTTATTCCATGCAATGTGAGTTCAACAAGTAGAGTGAGAGAACACAAAAATGTGGCAAAATTCAGAGCTCTCATCCTTGTGCAGAGGTTTATTTGAATCTCAGGCTGTTTCTATCCCATGCATGCATTTTCTTCACCATGTATAGCATTAAAAACTGGAATGACTGCTTAAGGGTGAGCAATAACCTGAGATCAAAACTCAAGCTGACCTCTAATGTTACAAGAAGCAGTGCTAATGCTTTGGGATTAGAAGTGTCTTTTTGCTGGATTCTAGCACAGAACTGAGATAGTCATAGTCAATTGTTGGTAATGATGTGCTCAAGAAGACACTCCTTGAGCTCAGTGGAAGCAGCTAGAAAACGTTTCTGTAAAGTTCCTCAGGGTTCACCACAAAAAAGTAGGAATATATTTGCATAAGCATTTTTTCTGCAATATACTCTTTGCTTTTCTGCTAGCTCAAACCTTGGGATGTCGAGGCTAGCAGAGATTTGGGGGTTAGATCAGTCTTTCTGCTTCCATCCTGCTGCTGTTCACAGCAATGTGCTTGCCCTGGACTACTCGGAAGGCATTGGGATGCAGCTGCGCTCTTCATGAAGTCATTGCTTTGTTAAGAAGGTTAAGGAGGATAAACCACAGTTATGATGTTTCCAGGTTTTGGTAGTCACAGTTACATGTGTGACAAACATGGACACTATAAACAGAAGTACATACAACCACAGGTAGGACTGAAACTCTCATCAACTTTGCAATAACTATGTTTAAGAAAACTCTCTAGCCCTATACCGTCTTTTAAAAGTCTCATGTGCCTTATATTGAGTTAAGTGAGTTTACAGAGTTTACAGAAAGAAACCCCCTTTTCATGTGTTTGCATTTACCAAAATAAAAACAATTTTTGGAAACCAATCTTTTAACCATCAAAATAATGCAATGTTATCTTCTTTTCACAGATGGGACAACCGAAGGAACACATTTGTGAAGTTACCTGCTCAAAGCCGTAACAGATGCCAATGATAAATCCAGGAACAGAAGCTAAGTCTCCCAAGTTGTGGCCTAACACCATCAACAAGCCAATGTAATCAACAAGAAAGTTTGTCTTTTGATGTTATTGCAATACCTATATATTATATATAGGTTATACCATAGCAATACCTATATATTAATAATTTACCCAAGACGAACACATTTGAGTATGTATATTTGCCTATGTTCTTGTAAATAATTCAAAAGGTTTCTTTGAATTCTAATTCTGAATTTAATATCTAATATATATATATATATGTATAAGAATACTGGCCAATTTTTCCACAACAATTTTTTCATAAGTCATGTTTAAAACATACAGTTTAGAGTCCAACTTTAGGGTCTTCAGGGTTCGGAGCATCTTACACTTCAGCTTGCCTTTATAGAAGACAGTAGATGGTTTGCAGCTCAGGAAAAGGAAATAAAGTTGTATATTGTTCTTAGCATTGGAAATCACTTTTAGAAATATTTCTGTGTGTTGGAAGCACCAAAAGCTCATGTCTGACTGTGGTTTAGCTGTAGGGGAGGCTATGGCAATGGACCCAGGCAGCAGAGGAGCTATGATTATGGAAGAGCCTAATGCTGCCTGGTGTATTGAGCAGTATCGGACAGTTTTGGCAAAGGTACAACTTGCTTTCTGTCTCTTGTGGCTGTGTCCTCCTATACTGAGTCAGGAACATGTGCACAATACTTCTTTGTGAGATGCTGATCTTTTGGGATGTTAAGCACCAATAGTTGCATTAGCAGCTGGTTTTACTTGCAGTCGAGGCTTTGAAGCAGCACAGCAGCTTTTTGCATAGGATAGGGAGTGTTTCCTTCTAGCTTTCACTTCAATCTGACATTTTAGTGCTGTGGCTTCCCAAAATAGGGCTAGTGTCCAACACTGAAACACCATGGAAGCATTGTCTTAGTAGTAAGTACCTTTGTGGTTTATTAAGAGCAAATATTAAATCAGATTGGAAAAATATATTACTTCTACAACATACTCCTTATAGGACCTTTACAGTTTTCACATCTTTATTTTCAATAGTTGGCCTGGACACAGGTGATGAGCATGCTCAGACAATGTGTCAGGTTAGCTGCAATCAAACCCATAAAGTGTCTGCAATTCATCCATGCTTCTCCCACCAGCAGGTGTCATTCTGGAAAAAGGAAAATATTGTAAATTCCTGAACTGGAGAATTTGGCTGTGACAAAGAAGAAAAAAAGTTTACTTAAAATATGGCTTTTGAAGGATACTTTATTCCAAATTAAAACCCAAAGAAATCTGGCTCGTCTGCATTTTTTAATAATCTATGTGCAGTGAGTTATCCTGACCTATAAGTAACAAAGGGCAGACAATTGGTAAGGCAAACCAATGTCTGCTTAAAGCTATCTTCTGCTTTTTATTGTTCTCTGTGGTATGTTTAACACTGCTTACTTACCCTGCAAGACTATAAAATCAGTGATATTCATCAATCTTCCCAAAGGAAAAAAAGAATTAGATGTTGAATTCAGATCTCATTTACTTCAATGTAAACTTGAAGTAATCTCATTGAAGCAACTGAAATCAGTAGAAATGTTTGGAATTTAGCCTGAAGTAACCAAAAGAAAGTAGTATTTAACCTTCTACTCCATAAATGAGCCTCAAGCAGAAAATAATCTCATAGTAATTTTAATGTCTCTTATAACATTTATGCTTTCCTTTAAGTGTTCATCTGGGTATTAGCTGCAACCTCCTTTAATATGTAGAGACTCTTTGATTTCCCTTAATCACAGTGAGAGAGCTATGGCTGAGTTGTAAAGAACCAAGACCCTGCTGGTTCATTGTGAGGATTCCTGATATATGAAGTCTAGTCTTCTGGCTGTTAAAAACAAACTTACTGTGAAATTCATGCAGGAGGTGCCTTGCCCACCCTATAGGCTACTAGAAGTTTGTTCCAACCCATCATAGCTCTGATGATTATAAATATTTTTCTGTCTTTCTGTCTTTTAAATTTATCCAGACCCCTTGTATCTATATTGTCCTTTTGCATTAGTTTTTTCTCCTACCATTTACATCAGCATGTAGCTGAGAGGTTTGGGCCCAAGCACCCTAGACTGAACAAATACAGTTTGCATAGTTTTCTTCCAGAAGCTCATTTTCCATCCCCTGGCATTACTTTAAGTTAAATTTGTCTACTTTAAACAGGCAAGCAGAAATGTGCATCCTTTGTTGTTGCCTTGTATACAACATTAATGCAACAGCTTCCACACCCTACCAGAAATACTTCACCTGGTAGGTCTTAGCCCTGTATCTGATTTCTTTCTGGTAAATTCATCACTATCATCTTCCATTTGACTAGTTCAGCCAGGCTTATCTTCTCCTTAGCCATTTCTAGAAGTGTTACTATAAAGGATAGTTTGCTACTATGATGTGATGCTCCACCAAAACTCTTCTTGGAATTAAAGGGAAATTTGCTTGAGGAAAAATATGAGAACAAGCTCCAAGGCTTGGCTGCAAGGAGCACATTGAAGTGGGAATCAATTTTACATTTATAAAATTTGTATTTGCAACAAAGTAATGTAAAATAATTGTATTGCAGGCAGCCATGTCTTTTCCAAGATATTATTTAACTATGAATGTCACAATGCTTCTCCTGTGAACAGTATCGAGCACTCAGTGGCTGAATGGGAAAAAATAGTACATAAACTTAGAATTAAAAACTTCACTCTAAAATTGCTAAAAGCTGTATTCTTAGATTTGCATGAAGCCTGTATTACTGTTTTCTGACTTTTTGAGTTTTTAACTTTGAAATGTAGTGGTATTCTAAAATTTCAAGTCAGAAATTATAAAAGTATTGTGAATGTGACTAGTTTATTACGAACTTTATAGGATCAAGATAACAAGCAGTGATGATCTCCAGCAGGTTTTTTACAGTAAAGGATGAGATTTATACAACAATTTCTTTATAGTTTTTACTAATTTTTTCCATGTTTTTAGCTAAGTGAAACAATATAAAATTCTGTTTAGTCTCTTTTGGTTTTTAATTTTAGTGTTTTATTTTACTAATTTTAGAAAAAAATGAGCATGCCTAAACATAGACCTTCTGTGCCATTTTAGAGCCCTGGGGGATCCCACCTGGTCTCTCACTGCCAGTTTAAAGGTGTGGTCTTTTGTCAAAGGTCAAAAGTCTCCTGTAGGTCCCACATCATGCCAGCCCTGCACAGATATCCTGAATACTCCAGGGTATTCTAGCAGGCATTAGGCACCTTCTTTTGGGCACCTGAATTTCTCCTTTAAAAAACTGCTGTAAAAGTTAATGTGCCTCTACAAATGCTTAACAAAATTAAAGATACTACATCTGTGAAGGTAATTCCACCTAAGGTGTTTGATTTCAGTTTAACAGGACATAGAGGCAGGAAAGTAATTTCATATCTAACAAGTGCAGAGTTACTACGTTCAACAGGATGCTGTCAAGAGTCTGTTTTGAATTACGGTGGCTGAGCTGAATCTGTGTGTGAATTGGGAGTTGCTATTGTTGAGACTATGCACCACGAAAGGTCCTGGGGCTTCTCATCAGGACCATAGGGGTTTGATATTCAAAACTGCTGGGAGTCTGGCAAAAGGAAGCTTGATTCTTCAGTTTGGGGCATGAAGCAGGAAACTAATCATGCTGAAGAAAGCAATAATTTCAGGTACCGGGGCACTTGGATAGAAGGAATAAAAGAAATACTTGCATTAAAAAGAAATACTTGCATTGATTACACACACAATTAGAAACTTATGTTAATCAGGTCCAATTTATAATGGTCAGAGGGAAGTTAAAAACCTTGAATATATTAGTTAGTGTAGTTATATACGAATTGTACAACATGGAGTTGAGCATTTCTGAATTGTTATTTTACAACAAGAGCAATTCATTGTATATAATATATACAAATTACATATTATATATGTATGAAACATATAACTCATCTTAAAATAAAATTAAAGCTATTGGAAGGTAGCAAATTCTGCACAAAATTCACCACAGGCATTAATTAGGATTGTATAGACAGAGAACACTTTCCCATGGGCTTTTTTAAATCACTTACTAGCATTATGATTGAAAGGAATTTGGATTATTTTTACAGAAGTTAAAAAAATGAAATGGTTACAGAAAAGGTCATGATGGACGGTGACTTAGAAAGCAATCGTAAAATCTAATTTAGTAATGTACAGTATTAATTGTATGATTTGCGAGTGAAGTAGAACTGTTTTCATGTCCTTTTTTTTTTTTAAGTGTTTATCAATCTTTTTCAGGATGAACCCCCAAAGCATGGCTGTAATAGTTGTTTGAAACAAAAAATAGATACTCTCTTGGTGTCATTCATTTCAGTGATCACTGGGAGTCTGAGCTTGAATGAAGGTGGAAGAAAATTCCTACAGGGAATTGGGAGTGGTTTGTCCCTTAAGAAGGATGTAATGGCATTTTTAATGCTTTCACCAAATACCAGGACATGTGATAAAAGTTCATGGACTGAGAATTAATTGAAAGATTGTGAAATGGGAAAGAATGCACATTATGGGAAGCCTTGGAGAGCTACAACCTAAGCTCCCAGAATATCACTGGAGTTGATGGAAACATCTCCGATGACTGGGTTTTTTTTAATATAATTTGCCAGCCCCTGTAGCCCTCCCCAGACAGACTGGGGAAATACATTCCTTTTATTAATATTAGTCCAGGGGACTCAAGTATATTTCAGGCAGTGAATGATATAGTTGATGGAATTTGCTACAGAATTCAAATAAAAAAAAAAAGACAGTGGAAACTTGTACCTGTGGGTTGGTATATGTTTTAAAAACTGTTTTTCTACAGATAATGGGCTTATATCTAAACTTTGTTATTTGCAATATAAAGGTTTACAGTTTTATATGTATTAAATAATACATCTCTATGATAAAACATGAAATGTTTAATTAAAACAACGACTAAAAGTATGTAACTATGTAAATATTACCTAAATCCTGTGTGTAAATGTTACATAAACTGTTTCATTTCTAGGGGTCACTGAAAACACTTTAAAATTTTATACAGTTTTCTACACTTCCCCCTCCCCTAGTTTTTAATATAATTGCAGGTTTAAAGTTAATCTGTCTATTAGTTTTTTGATATTTGCCGTTGTGTTAAATTTTACTGAGGAACAATTTAGTTTGGGGAAACCATTGAATCTGTGGTTCATGTTGTTTGAACAAGAAGTCCCTGAGTATTTGTCCCAAATACCAGCATTTTTACTACACTGGCAGCTGTATATTTGTGGTCACCCGATGGCAACATATGCAAAGATTGTATACAGTGGCAGTGCCTCTTCCAGAGAATACCATGAGGGAAACTGGATGTGGCCGATGCACACATAATTTGCTCTTCTAGGTGGAGGTATCATGTAGACAGCACTTAAATGACACTTTTTATTTCTGGATAAGATGAAGGTAAAAGATAGAAACCATTTGAAAGCCATTGCTTATGTCCCCTGAAACAGGCTGAAAAGAATAGCTCCTCTGAGGCACAGCTTAAAACTGAACATACACAGAGATGTGTCATTAGTAATTCTGAAAATGTGTTTACAGTGATTAGATAAAATATTTAGCCACCATTTAAATATTTTAGTTCATACGCAAATTTTAGGTGTCTACTACACTTAACATTTCCAATAACTGGTTTCATTAGGATTTTTAGTGATACAAATTAATAACAAAAGGCAGTAATACAGAGTGCTGTTATGAGGCCAAAATACATGTGGTTTAAATTTGAAGAATTAAATGTTAGCATTTCCCTATAGAGAAAGGTTATTTGGGCAGTGGTGTACTGACATTATCACCACCCACAGAGAAGGGGTCCTGTTAATCCTATTGGTTAAGTAGAAATGCAAAAAAGGAAAAATGTAGGTCTAGAGGGTTTGCTTGGTGTAAGTGAATCACACGGGAGAAATGCTGATACCCAAAATTGTCGTAGTGACTTTCTTAGATGGTTAGAAAAAGAAATAAGCATGGGATATTTTTGTCAAGTTAGAGGGTTTTAGATTGCTTGCTAGGTAAAATCAGTCCTGGTTATTAATGTAGTGGAAAGTTAAATGATGATCATGGAAATATGATAATAAGTGCTGTCTGATAATCAGACAGAAATAATTTTCTGAGTCCATTAAGAATAATCCAATGTGTTAACCATTCGGCTGAAGGGCTGCTAAGAAAACAAATGTGAAAGTGAATAAAATAAAGGAAAGCTTCCTTCAGGAAGGTGTTTCTGGACACTACCATGCTGCTTCTGGCAAATCATATTTGATAAGATACAGGTAAGCAACAGCATTCATTTAGCAGAAAATAGTGTTATCTGTATCTCTGGATTTTTGTTTAAACAATCATTAATAATAAGCTTATGGGATCTAGCTAGAAACAAATCTATTAAAAATAACAATTACTAATTTGCTACTATTTAACGTTAGTTTAGTCTGACAGCTCTGGGATAGCTTCGTCTATTATTCCTGGAAGAAAACTACATAAAATTGGGTGGGTTTAAGTAGTTTCATACAGACATGGTACTGCACAGAAAAGCTACATATTAATATCACTACATGTAGGGAGATCTTGTCTCTGGCCCTCAGTCTGATGGTTTGAACATGGGCTGAGCTACCCCAGGCTACCAGTACTCTGCACTTTGGCTTTTGAAACTTTCTGTGTGAGATATAGTTTCAACATGAAACTTCAAAATACAGTGGCTGACATTCAGTTTTGGTTTGTTTGAAGCTAAAACTCAAAGCAAAACTCCTGGAGTATAGAACTGTATGCAGCAAAATATAAGAAAGTTAACACAAAACTTCTGCTAACTGAGCAAACTAGTTTCACTCAGCTCTTGAAATAACCCCTTTCTGCAGATTCACTTTTCAGTTGCACATGTGTGAGATGTCAAAAAATGAGTTGGTTTCACAACCCCGTGGCACAGATGAATGCCACAGCTCTAAGGCTCACCCTCTGTTCTTGTCTTCATTCTCTGTCTTGGTTGATACTTAAGACATCTGCAAGAGATGAAATTTTCTCAGCCCCAAGTTAGTTACGTTCATTTGTAAAACAAGGGATTTGAGGTAAGACCCAAATTCCAGTCTGTATGTTGTATCCAGTCTGTATGTTGTATCCAGCATTGAGAACTCATTTCCCAAATCTGTAACAATGCTCTACATGGCTCTGATTCCCAAAATGACAGAAGCCACTTCATCACTTGGAGGTCATTCAAGAATTCATGTGTTTTAAGTTCAAAACCTGATCTTTCAGAGATGCTGAACACCTGCTACTCTTCTTACCTGGTACGGGAGCTGCAGGAGCTCATGCCCCTGTGAAGATCAGACCCCTCATCCCAATGTGCTCTTATTCACAGTGGGGTAATGAACAGTCTTCTGCTCTGCTTTCAGTTTTTGTAAAATTTTAGTGTAACAGGCTTGAAACAAAGTGATGAACTGCAGTGAGATTGTCCTGATGGCATCTGCGATACAATTAATTTTTTTTTTTAGTAGCTGATACAGTGCTGTGTTTTGGATTTGGTATGAGAAAAATGTTGATAGCTCACTGATGTTTTAGTTGTTGCTAAGAAATGCTTACTCTGAATCAAAGACTTTTCACTGTCTCCTGCTCTGCCAGTGAGTAGGTGCACAAGAAGCTGGGAGGGAGCATAGCCAGGACAGGTGACCCAAACTGGCCAAAGTGATATTTCATACCATAATATCAAATAATCAGTGATCTTGTGCATATGTATTTTGGTTATTCACATGTTAACTTTTCATGGTGAACTGGTAACTAGAAAAGTGCAAGGGGAATGGCTGAGGTTGTAGTTCTAAGGGTATCTTGAACTACAGCCCACAGGCTGATTCACACAAGTTACACGAGAATTATTGTGAGTGGAATTTACAATATAATGGCTCACCTTTGCACGAGAATGAATTTTATATCGTGTGAGTATATGTTACGAAGAAAAAAAAACCACTGGGCTGTTGGTGGGACACAAATATTATGTGACTCTGAATCTCACTTGGTATTTTAAACTATGAGAGTTTAGATTTGAGTCATCTTAACTTGTAAGTAGGATATATATATACATATATAGCATACAAGCTGTAAGCAAGGCTTCTGTTTTGGTGCTATTTTCCCCTCAAATCGCAGATTTGGTTCTCTGTTGCTGTAAATCATTATAGCCTTAATGAAAAGTCAGAAGTCAGATTAATTGCTTCCAAAATTTGAAAAGAAACCTGAACTAGAAAGCTGAACAGTCTTCTATTTTCTTCTTCTCTGTTTGGCCACTTTGATTTTCAGAGTCCTTGGGCCACCAGACCATGTTACACCCATCTTTCACCCCTACTTGTCCTCAGTGCTTCCTGCATGGAACTGGTTTTAGAATTTGCCCAATCTCTAATTTGTCCTGTCAGAGCACTCAGCAGCATCTAATCTTTCATTAGAGGCAGAAACTTTGTTAGCACTGCTCAAAGTGCATCTTTAACCCAAGACCTTTATTGGAAAACTCCACTAGTCAGAGCAAGAGCTGGAGAAGACAGCCCACAGGTGCCTGCTGGCAGCCCCAGAGTCACATGCGGGGAAAAGTTATTTTTCTTCCTTTTTTCCTTTTAATTCGACACTTGACTTAAAACATGCATCTAGCCAAGCTATGCAGAGAGTGACTTGCTGAACAGAAGACTGTAAGGTAGGATTAGAGGCTCCACTTAAGAGAAAATCTGCTTCAGCCTAGAGAACAATCCCACCACAAATAAAATTAACTTTAAAAGTAATGAGATTTTCCACTGTTAACTTAATAGCAGCAAACCACATGCTCTAAACAATGTTCTAATTTTTTTTTTTTAAATAAGGACTCATTTTTAGTAACAAACCCCAGACTAATAGGCCTGCCATTTTTCCACTGCTGGAGGAAAACCTGGACTCTTGCTGAGCTGTATGGTGAATATCTCGGAGATATTTGAATCTACTACTAATAAAAAGGCCTCTAAAATGCTAGCATGGAGGAACGCGTTTAAGGTAGAAGAAATGGAAAAAATGGGAAAAAGAAGAAACATCTCTTTGATCTTTAGCTCTGTTATTTTTTAGATTATATTTCTTCTGAACTTCCAAAATCTTCATTAACAAACGAGCTTTCTTTTAAAAAGTATTAAGTTATCAAAACATTTGCCAGGTCCTAGTATTAAATCCTAGCAGTCAGCAGTGTTTAACTTCAGCCATATCGTTTTGCTGAGTAAGTTATGCTAAAACTTAAAGTTTTCCCCTTGAAATGATCTTTCCAAATGAGATTGATATTGTGAGAAAAAAAAAGAAAAAAGAGAAGGACGCCTTCATCATGAGGAATTATGGAATTAATTTTCTTTATATACTCTGTTTGCACAAGACATTTTTGTTAACTCTTAATAAAAATACCATTCAGCTGCTACTTTCATTGTTTTTATCCTGGGACCAATACAACATTGTCATTATTGGATATAAAGTGCTGTAAAAACAAATCTAATTTGTTAAGTTTATTTTGATAAGAAATAAATATAAAGGTAGTGCATAGTTTGTACAGTGCTGCTATCATAGGACTCCTGGGTATAATTTATATAAAGAAAATAAAAAAGCATACATAACTTTCTAGTTGATTTCCTTTAACAGGGCTAATTGAAAACAGTTTCTGTTATTTAAAAGTAATTTATTTTAAATATACTTTTTAAAACAAAGTTCTTATTGATATCCATTTTAAGTATAATATTATCTCAGTGTGGGATACAAGTAAAAGGTCAAATCTTGTAGGAGTTTTCTGTATGACTCAGTTCTGATCATAGATAAACTTATCGGGGAAACCAAATTAGTTAACCTTTTCAGTACCGAAAGCTTGTTTTAACAGGCTACGATTGTTTCTTTCACAAATATAGCAATTCAAAGCTTATACTTTTGTTCTGAAACATGAAAAAGAGAGTGCTAATTTCCCTTTTTTCTCTCTGATAAAGGGCAAAGGCTCATGATTTTAACGTGAAATTAGATTTGTTGAGGTTCAATATGATGCACAATAAGCAATACACTATGAATTTTTACTCAAGAACTGCTGTGCTTAGTGGTAGAAAAACAGATGCATTTTTAAACTTTGATTATGTCTGTAATTTATGGACATTGTTAAAGGATATATTTTTTCTTGCCCAGTAGCATAATCCATATGTATGGATCTGATTACTGGAGCACTGAAAGACAAGATGGCTGTAGGCGGCATATCTCTAGAAATGAGCCTCTTTCCATATGGCTTGGTAGGTTGTTCAATTCCTATCTGGTTAACTGGTTTGCGATGTTTCTCAGAAGTCTCGTCAGCTCTGCTTCCTCCCTTGTTTCCATTGCAGCAGCACCAACTATTCAATGACTTGGGTTGTTTCAATACACGCAATCAAACTCAACACCAGCAACTGCCCTTCTTTCTTAAAGCCAAGTCCAGAGTGATTGGAAGGCTTTAATGGACTTCAGCTCTGGGACCACACTCATGTCTGAGAAAAACTCTCACAGATGTTGATGAACTAAAGCCGTCTTCAAGGCCTTCATGCAATCTCACCTCTATCAGCGCAATTTAATATGGAAGCTGGGGCACAGTTTGGCTCATGGAGGGTTTTGTCTGCAAACTCACTCCTACTACCTTTACTAATTTTGCATAGTATTTACACTCACTGACTTGTGCAAGGAAGTTGTGCTGAAAGGGATTAAAAATGGTGAAGTCTCTCTCCTGGAGAGCTACATTTCAGACAGTATCGGGTGAAGAGCTTTTGAGACACAGATATTAATGGTATTTCTAATAGTCAGTGAAATAAACACATTAAAAAGATCCAAGAGTGAAGATATCTAGACATCTAGTTTTGAAGGTCAAAGAATGTTGAGCATTAGCTGAGCTGTAGGAGTGTACTGATTCTGCACAGTGAAAAGTAAAAAAAAAAAAAGGTCTGTAAGGCATGTCCCAAGTTGAACTCTCATGGGCTTTGAGTGGAAATTTTGTCAGGCCTGGTCATATGCAGTAAAACATTCATCTCATGCTGGTAGTGGCAATGAACATTTTTTTCTTCCATA